GTAGATGTTCATTGAAATGAAAAATAAAGGATTAAAAAAAATAAATAGAAATAAAATAATGTTTCCATAAGGCAATGAGGGAGTTCTGATAGCCAACTGGTAATGAATTTGTGTTTCCAATCCAAAGGCAAGTGGTTCAAATCCACCAGGTGCTCCAAGGAAAAAGATGGGAATTCCCCTTCCATGCAGTTTATAGCCTCTGAAATAACATTGGAGGTTCGGCTATGAGTTGGTTCTAACTTGATGGAAATGAACAACATAAGGCAACTTTGAAAATATTTCTTTTTTGCCTGTGTCTAGATCACAAGAGTCTCCTGAAGATGGGCAACCTCCAGCTTTACCACCCAAGCAATCCAAGAAAAACATTTGGAACCAAATTTATTATTCACACTCTCAGCAAGACCTGGAGGATCATATCAGCGAAACATTTGATATTCCAGCTTCTCCAGAAAAATCTGCTGTAGGTAACTTCTTCAAATTCCTTCACATTTCATAGAATTTTCTTTCCCTAGATAAATTTCTGTTGTATTTGTCACACAGTTTAATTGTAAATTGCATGACAGTATTTTTTCCCATTGCCTTCATACTGGTTAATTATCGACTGTGTCATAAGGTAAAGCAATTATTAATTTTATTTTCTCATAATTTACCAAATATTCATTGCTCCTAATATAAATTTTTGACAAATATAAAATTCTTTTAGTCTTAAAACATGCCCACATTTCTGAAGTAATAGCTGATCATTTATTAAAATACATTTTGAAATTTCATTGACATTTTGAAATTAATTATATATTCTTGGAGTATATAAGCATTCTCTGCTCTACCAGGTACATTTATGACTTAATTTGGAATTTTAGTTTTAGAAAGATGCTCTTATTGGAACAACATAGTAAATTGTTAGAATTTCCTATTTGATGAACTTTCACTGCTTTCTCAAGTTGTTGTTGTTGTAGTATACTATCAAGTTGGAACTAACTCATTGCTAATCTTCAAAAGGGTTTTCAGAGGTAGTAAATCACATGGGTAGAGATTGCTCATCTTTCTCCTGTAGAGCAGCTGGTAAATTTGAACCATGTATTGTTAACAAATATAAGAATACACTATGTTCATGTAGACATAAAAAGGTAGCCAGAAATATGGATATATTTCAGGAAAGTAGGTTTAAGGGACACCAAGAAATAGATTTTTACTAGGGTTTTGGGGTTTTTTTTCTTTTAATTCATTTATCTTTTTTTTTTGTACTGAAGACTTATAGATCACATTGGTTTTTCATACAGATATTGATAAACATTTGCTTTATAATGTTAATTACCTCTTATTAATGTAATTAATAAATTAGTGTCTAATTGACCCAAAGAAAATAATAAAAGAAGATTAAGAGCAAGTATGTAGTGTGAGAAATCAGCCCTCTCTTCTCTGTCAGTACAGCCTTCTCACGTTCTCTTGGATTGAACATTAACTTCTGTAAACCCACATTCATTGCTCCAGTGGCACAGATGCCTCAAAAAAAGTGGAGACCCTTCACCAATGATGAATAATAACTCTAGTGCTATCAGTGTAGCAATTGTTGGGTACACTATCTCATTCATTGATGGATTCATCATTGCTGAATTCTGCTATGTGACTCACACTTTGGCAGACAGTTAAATAAAAAGACAAATAAAACATTTCCCAGTTGTTAATTAACGTTACATTGTGTTTATGTAGTCATTGAGCAGTTAGTTACCATATACTGTTTTTTAGGCTTGGGGTATAAGCTGAGTAATTTTGTTGTTGTTGTTGTTGTTGTTATTATATGCCGTCGAATCGCTTGTGACTCATAGCGACCCTATGTACAACAGCCCTAAACTC